ATAACAATCGACTATATTACTCTTTCCGAAAAAATGGATTAGGCTTATTGAGTTTACTTCAATTTCGAGTAAAAAGTCGATTGTATTAGAGGATGATGGCAGATTCCTCATAACCAGCTGTTGATTGACTTTACTGGAACATTCATGTTGACGCTGTACCTTAGGCAATCACCTTCGATTCCGGTAAAAACGTGCTAGGCTCATCAGAGCACTTAGATATTAGGCATATATACAACATTTAGGGATAAGCAGGTGATTTGTTTGACTCGTTAGCTTGAATATGGTTGTAAGGATGATACCCTGCGACGGGCGAAATCTTAGCACGTTTTCACCAGAATAGAAGGAAATTGTCTAGAAAACAACGTCAACAAGAATGTCACAGTAAAGCTAATCAACAGCTGGTCAAGAGAAATCCGCCGTTGTCTTCCGGTGCGATCGACCTTCAAATATCTTCACCAAACACTTTCACTCGAAACGGGAGTAAGCTCGACAATTATGAAACAAGAGATTCCGCAAAACCCACCTGTTCTTCGCATAAACTATGTTTAGACTGAGATATATATAAACGCGTCAGCGACGAACCTTCATCGATATGCTGGCCGGTTGAGACACCTGCGAGCCATGCAGCCAGTCCGCAGACCGCTCGAATGACCGGTTCCAGCTCATCGAGTAACTCAGTAACGGAGTCAGCAGACGTGGCTGGATTACTTAAGAGGCGCTTCAGCAGGACCCCATCACCAACAGATGCTGAAGCCTGCTGTAGTGGTGATATAGGACTGGTACGCATCTGGTTGAGAGTAGATGAAGTAAGGGGTAAAGCGAAGAGCTGCTGACAACGATTTACGGCGGAGCAGAGCCGGGAGGAAACCAGATCAAGCTAGTGGTTAAGAAGACAAGTAGTATCATTAAAGTATAGTAATATTAGAATAGGTTTCAGAGACGCTCATTAGCCTAACTCGATAATGTAACATAAGTGCTAGTAGTTCAACCCAAAACCGAAACAGACACAATTGTTTTGTAAAAAATAGGGAGGT